CGTCGTTTCCGTAAAGGCTGACAACAAAGATCTTCTCGATGTTGTTGGATACCTGGAGCGGGATGGTTTTGGACGCATCCTTGTTCTCCCAAACAACAGTTCCGTCAGCTCCGTTGAGTCTTCTCATGACAGTAGAGCCATCCTCCTCTTCGAAAAGCGCCAGCACATCCTTGCGTCCGTTTTCTGTCATCTCCATGACTTCCAAATCCTTGATTGTACCCACGAAGTCGATCCACCAGGCGTTCCTGCCGGACAAGGCGTTCCAGGCATGTACTGAGCTTCCGTACGCAGACACAACCCAATCCTCGTCCTCAGCCGCTCGCAAGTGTCCACCTCCATTCGTGATGTTGCCCGTCAGGAATTGACGCCAGACGACCGCGCCGTTGCTGGGATTGACGGCTCCGAGCACGCCAACATCGCTGAGTGTGTAGAGTAACGAAGCCTTATCGTCGCGCCGGGGCTTGTGGAATAGGGTGGTCTCGACCTGAGGGACGCCGACGAGCTCGTGGTGGTAATCGATGTCGCCAACCTCGTCAACAAACACCGCGCCGACGAGCGACGTAGCTGCGAGAAGCAGCGTCGTAAGGCGCATGGTGATGGGGTGTGGTGCTTTGAGCTTGTCGTGGAGTTGGACAGCTCCAAAAGTGTGTGAAGCTCGCACGTCACTTGGTGGTGGTTTAGTGGTGGTAGGAGCAGTGCTGTACGATTAGTGTACAAAGCACAGCGTACCTCGCCCGCAGTGGAAGGCCCCATATTTCTGTTGGAGGCGTGGCTGATTGGATGTGGGGGAAGGCCCGTGCCAGGCGCGCAACATTGACGACCGAAAGCTTTCAGAAGACGAAGTTGCCCTGCCGTGCGATCCTCTCTTCCAAAGCCAAACCAAATCACATTCGCTCGAAGCTCAGCGCTCTATCCCGTAGCCAAAGCTCTCATAATGGTATGTGAATCTCCCGTGCATGTTCAAGTTGGATAATGCTAATAGGCGCAGGCGCGAAACTCGGAAAAGGCGCAGTCCATGCTGTTTCGCTTTCGCGAAGCGCAAGCAGCGGACCTGGGCATTATCGACATCGGCCGGACAAGACGACCAAGAGTGATCACCGAGGTCGATTCGATACCGTCATGCGAGAAGTGGCGTGGCCAAGTCTTGAAGGAGATCTCGCGCAAGGTCTCCAAGATTCAAGATACCGCCCTCAGTGACTACCAGATTCGCGACCTCAATGACGAAATCAACAAGCTGATGAGGGAAAAGTACATGTGGGAGGTACAAATACGAAATCTTGGTGGACCTAATTACATGCGTGGAGGCGGCAAGATATACGACGAAGAGGGACGAGAGATACCAGGAGGTGGAAAAGGCTATCGATATTTTGGGCGCGCGCGAGATCTGCCCGGAGTGAAGGAACTATTCGATGCAGCCAAGGCAAAGGCTACAAACGAAAAACCGCTGGAGACGAGGGACGACTTGCGGAAACAGGTCGATGCGGCGTACTACGGTTACGCGCCAGATGAGGAGGACCCGGAGTTGCTAGCGTATGAGCTCGCAAAGGAGGAAGAGGCCCTCGCGCACATGGCAAAGACCGGAAAGCAGCAATTGCCGCCTGACTGGGAGGCTTTGCCGGGTGACACAGGCGACGGAAAGGGCTGGGAGCTGCCGACGCTGGAGGAGGTGCAAGAAGAGTTGATCAACAGGCGGCGGCAGAAGCTCTTGGACCAATTATAGCAGCCAACCCGCGCGCTGCCTTTTCGGTTACGATGAGAACTGCTTTGATCTTTTTGGAGGGTCACTGGTGTTTTTCGAGAGGTCGTGTCGCTGCTGTATCATATTGCAAAGTTTGGGGTTCAGTCATAGCCTGAAATGATGGCTGGCGTTCTTGGAGGGTTTACGGCTAATCGAATACCAAAAATGCTATTTGTGTGAGCTCAAATGGAGTCTATATTGAATCAAGTATTTATCGAAAAGCGCTTACCATCGCCTGTTGATGAGGTCTATCTGAGGTAAGGTACCCAGGCAGGCTAACCTTTGGTGGGCTCGGTGAAGCTCGGTGAGAGATAAGATAACACTTCCACGTGACCGATCGCGAACTTCAATCCAAGCTTCGAAAGCTCGACTTTTGCGATTGCACGACCAGTGTCTCCCCGTTCCATACGTCACCACAGCCGCCAAAATGTCGATGTTCCGTGCAAAGAAGCTGGACCTGGGATGTTTCGTCAACATCCGGACGATTCGTGACCACACGAAGCGCCAGGTCTTTATGCAGAACGAGCCCGAGAGGTAAGCAACGCCGAACTCCCTACACCCCCTTCAAAACCGACGAATCCAATCGAATCTGAACTGACACGAAGCTCCTTAAATAGACAAGCTCTGCGATACATTATTCAGAACACGACTCTCCCGGGCCGTGTGCGCGCCGAGGCGCAGCTTCAGTTGGGTCAGATGCACTGCTACACCCGGCCGACGCAGATCAAGAACCGATGCATTTTGGGTGGCAAGGCCAGGGGTGTCTTCCGCGACTTTAAGATGACGAGGGTATGTCGAAAACGTGTCTTATCGAAATTCAGTTTGAACCGCGTATGTTGACTAGAGAGTACAGTTCAACTTCCGTATGCAAGCGTACGAGGGTAACATTCCCGGTGTTAAGAAGGCTAGTTGGTAGACGAAGATGCGGCGGAGGACGATTATCAAAAATAAAAGCAGGAAAATACTGTTGTAAGATACAACGAAAGGGGCTTATGGACCTTTCAGACGGCATGCTACGCTCGCGAGCTTGCTCATAGATGGACGATTTAGGGACTGGCGTTTGGCTGCATGTTGGCACCCTAAGAAGCATATGTACAGATACAAATACTGGCAAACAATGTACAACACATCTCAGTTCACGTGTGGATCAGATCTGTTTGATAGCGGACGATTTTCTTTCAGTTTGCCTCGCATGTATCTACCTAGGCAGGAAGTCTCACGAGTGCAGTTGCCTTCTCATTCAACAAGAGGCCCTGGATCTGGTTTCGATCGTTGGCTTTGGAGTTCCTTCCTGCTCACTGCTGTGTTTCGCTTTCATCTTATCATCTTTTCGGTCCCTCTCCTGCTCTCCCAGCGAGCTTCTCTCAGCCTCAGTCCCCGTCTCTTCAAAACTGATAATACAAAACCCCTTCTCAGCCATCTTTCCTCCTAGACCCCAATACTCCCCTACCTCGTCTCCGTCCAGCCGCCACCATGTTCCGCCGCCGCTGGTCTGGTCTCCCCAAAGACCCTATCTTCTCATCTAACTTGAAGGATCTTGGGTTTGCGGCCTTTTCCGTTTCAAGCCGTGACCAGAGCTAACGTTTCCAGCTATTTCATCAACGACCAAGATGAGATCCGCAACATCAAGGAACCCGATTACTACTTCAAGTACTATCTCACCAAGAACGGCCGCGTCAATGATCGCCAGCGCTTCCATTTCAATGGTAAGTACCTATCATTGTTAGCCTTCATTGCGCCTTCTTCCTAACCTCACACAGAAGCGATCCGCGACATTGTCCATGGCCGTCTCGAAAAGGAAGGCTTGAAGAAGGTCCTTCTACCTCTCGGCGTCGAGCCAGCCTCGCCCAACGTCTCCATCTTCACGAGTGCCAACTTGGCATCTGCCTCGCGCGTAATCGTGATCTTTGGCGAGCCCAGCCAGGATCTCGGCAACTTGGCCCTCCGTGTCGTCAACGGCCCCGGCGGCATCAACAAGGGCAGCATGGTCTCAGTCGTTCAGGAGATCAACCGCCAGAGAGCCTCGCCGTCCGACGATGGTCCCCCCGGAATCATTATCGCCAACACGGGTGAGCTTTGGTGGTGGCCCGAAGGCAAAAAGGCTCTAAGCCCGACTTCCGCCATGGCCGTTCCCAGGAAGAGCATGGTTCACCACGGCCGCGCCAACAACCCAAGATACCATTCAATCCCGAATAACGAGACCCCCGAAGCCCACATTGCGTACGTTCTCAACGAGGTCATCCCATCGCTTCTATCGCTAAACGCTCGCCTCGACATCATCGGCATAGGCCTCGGTGCCGACCACGCGACTAGAGCGTTGGACACACCCGAGACCTGGTCCGCTCTCGACCATCGCATCAACACCTTGTCCTTGCTGGGTAGCACAACCAGCGTCGATGAACTCTCTCATCAACCCTTCAAAGAGTTCCTCCCTCGCCGCACTCGAGCGTACATCACAGATGAAGCGCCTGCACTTACACCCGTGGCACAACCCGGCGGCAATCCAAACACGGCCTCCTTCACACAGCACGGCTGCACGGTCTACAGCTCCGGCGAAGTCTACCTCGTCGAGTGCATGCTCGTCACTAGCCACGTCCTCATGCTGGACTGGGTCCAAGAGGTCGCTCTCGCCGGCCCCGATTACCGCCACCCGGAGGTGGTCGCCGTGGACCCCCATGTGCCGACAGAGGAGGAGTGGGCGGCGGGAGGATTTGACGAGCAGTGGGAGAATATGCCCGAGTTTGCGAAGCCGAGTATCGGATATGCCATGGCGCCTGAGGACCATGAGCACTGCCAGGTCCTGGAGGGTATTCAGAAGCTTGCGGTTGAGGAGAACGAGAAGCAGAGCGATGCTTGGGAGGAATCTTGAGGGATGATGATGGGCCGTCTCATAGACGGATAGGAGATGGTAGCATATGGGACATTATGCTCACTTGGGCACGATGATTACTATCAGGCCTCAAACATTTAATAAGAGAGCTGGCGTGAGGCAGTTAGTCGTGATCACAAAAGTTGGCAACTCACATTTGCTCTACCATTCATGCTGAAAGCGCTGCCGTGGCTTGTGAATGGGTAAAGACAACAAATATGATGTACCTATATCCCGTAATCAGTGATGACTGATAATACTTCGCTGCCAACATCTGACAAACAAGACATCAAATCCGCAAATGGTATCATTGATATAAAGTTGCTGAAACAACATTACTGTACAAGTTTGCTCCTAGTCGCTGCGCCAACCTCGACCAAAACGTGCCCCTTCTTACACCTGAAGCAACGAAGCCAACCCAGCAACAGGCGGCTCAACCTGCACCAACAGCTCCCTGGTCCGCCGTATCCTCTCCTTGACGACCTTCTCCTCCGCCGCCCACCTGCTCTCCTCGGTCTTGGTCTCCGTCCAGAACCCAAACGCGGATTTCGCCGGCGCGGCCTGGTTCTTGGCCTCCTCTTCTCTGGCTAAGCTAGCCACCATGGCAGACCAGTTCTGCAGTCCCGTGCCGAGACACTCGCGGCACGTCTTGCGGGCCTCCTTGTCGCCGCCAATCGGGCCGAGCTTGCGCAGCTGCTCCTCGGCGAGGTCAACTGCGTCGCGCGTCCACGCGAGGCCCTCGTCGCGGTTCGCGGCCTGCTTCTTGGAAGAGGAATCCTTGGCGGCTGCCGCGGCGGCGTAGATGATTTCGCCAATGTAGAGGTTCAGCCCTGCTTCTTCACAGAGTTCCTTCGGGTGGCGCCAGGGGGGGCGGGTGCCGTCGTCCGGTGGCGCGGGGTACCTGGGTGCCTGTGCTAGGTTCCATATCCTCTGCCACAGCGTCGCAGGCGTCTCTGTGGGACGTTCTTGACCCGGGAGAGGAACCTGGGGCAGGGCGCGGCGGGCGCGGAGGACGGAGATGAAGATGGGGAGGGCGGCATTGACGTCGTCGTTGCGCGCCTTGTGGAGGGCGATGGAGGTGAGGACGGTCAGCACGTTCTCGGACGGCAACGTCGTCTTCTTCTCGTTGATGGTGTAGGTGCGGAGATCGACGAGGGGAGGGTCGCTCGGGGCGGTTGCGGTGGCTAGAGTGAGCGCCCACTGGTACATGCGCTCGGCGGCGTCGGGCATCTGCTTGTAGTCGAGGAAAGAGGCGTAGGCGAGGGCAGCGTCCATCTTTTGTCGGTCGGTGAAGCCCTTTGTGGTGAGGATGCGGAGGTAGTGGTTCTCGGCGGGCTCGTAGGCAACTTCGCAGTCCTCTTCGCGGGGCGCGCTCTCCGCGCCAGGAGGAATGGGTTTCGGGTGCGGGTTGGAAGGGCCCAAGACGACGTCGGCGGGGAATATAATGTTTCTCGTCCGGTCCTTGACCCAGCCGTCGAGCTGCTCCGCCGCCTGCGCCATGAGCATCAGCACCTCGTAGTAGCCCCGCCTCCAGTTCTCGCTCTTGGCCGAGACGTCCTTGCCCGCGTTGCCGATGCCGTCGATGGATAGAGGTTCGTCGAGAAGCTCCCGGATCGCCGCGCCGTCGATATCCGGGTTCTCCAGCCGAGCCAGCGCGCCTCTGCATGTCACGATGACCTCGACCCAGTTCACGCTGTGGCCGGGTGTATCTCGGGCAGCATTCTTGGCGCCACGAATGCCCATGCGCGTCAGGTAGGACCACTCGTGCGGCGTGGGGTATTCCTTCTCCAGTCCTTCCTGGTTCAGCAGGAAGACGATGCCGAGGATGCAGAGGGCGCCGCCCCAGATGGAGACATTATAGCGTAAGAAGAGACGGCCCTCGTAGCGCAGGAAGCGCTTCTTTTCTGTGGTGAAGTAGCGGGCCCGCGGCGCCGTAACGACGGGAATCGAGAGGAAGGGAAGCTGTGGCCTGCTGCGGGAGGTGAGGGATGTGTTGCTCGTAAAGGGCCGGGTGGTCTGGAGCCGGAAGAGCCTCTGGAGGAGGATTCGGCGGAGGGCTAGGCGCTGGCGCATCGTGGCTGCGGGCCAAGGAAACTTCAGATCGGGAGTGTTGTCGTGTTCATGCGGTCGTGAGGCTCATTGGTTCCTGGCGGGTGTCCGTCGGTGGTTGTGTCGTAGTTGACTTCTCTGCGGTAGAATTAAACATTCGGGAAGCTCAGAGCTTGAAGTGACCAGGGAGCTTCCAGTCCGAAGTGGTCGATGCATCCAAGATTCGATGCCGAAGTGGGGCCACTCATGGCCGGTGCGGTCGGTGGTGTCGGTGGGCGAATGTTCCGCTGTCAGCTGGAATTCGAGATGCTGATTGGTCACTCACCTACAGCAACCTTTTTTTTTTCTCCTTTGACCGGCGAAAGTGCAATAGAAGCCTGACTTGAAGGTACTGCTTAGACCCATCGCCAGTGACATTGAGAGGGTCCTCCCGAAGCTCGTGTAAGACTGGCTTGACAGAAAGCCACTCAAGGCACTCCCTCTCCCTGTTGACGTGGCACTTCACTAAGCTCATCATCTTGCATGATGAGTGTGCGAGATTGAAAATGTCTTCATTTTTCTCTAAAGCGGCGTCAAGTCCGCATGCGCAACTGGCGGCAACCGCTGTGTTGTCTGGCGCAACGGTAGCATGTCTCATCCTTGGCTACCAAGCATTCGAACGAAAAGAACGAATCCAAGATCTCAAAAAGTCCATCCCTTCCTCTCCTGAGGAAGCTGCCAAGGTTCATACCTTTCCTCTATACCGTTCCAGAAACCCAAGAAACTAACATCATCTCACAGCTCACTCGGTACGGCGCCGCATCTCCCCCAGTAGACAAGGAGGATGCCCGCAACCAGGCCCTCGCCAGGAGAGCACAGGCCGGCGACTTTGACGAGGAACTCATTCTCGAACAACTCGCCCGCAACAGGGTCTTCCTGAAAGACGACGGCTTGCAAAAGCTCCGCAACGCCTTCGTCGTCGTCGTCGGCTGCGGCGGCGTTGGCTCCCACTGCACCGCCGCTCTCGCCCGCTCAGGCGTCTCCAAGATCCGCCTCATCGACTTCGACCAGGTCACCCTCAGCTCCCTCAACCGACACGCCGTCGCCACGTTGGCGGACGTCGGTATCCCCAAAGTCCAGTGCCTCTATCGCCGCCTCATCGCCATCGCCCCCTGGGCCAAGTACGAGCTCAAGAACCAAAAGTTTGAAAAGATTGCCGCCGACGCGCTGCTTGCGCCCTGGGCCGAGGACGGACAGAAGCCGGACTACGTCGTCGACGCGATTGACAACATTGATACAAAGGTCGCTCTGCTCAAGTACTGCCACGATCACGGCATCCCCGTCATCTCCTCCATGGGAGCCGGTGCCAAGGGCGATCCGACGCGCGTTAACGTCGGCGATATCGGAGCCAGCACCGACGACGGGCTTTCCAGAGCTACTCGCAGGAAGCTGAAGCTGCAGGGCGTGACGGGTGGTATTCCTGTCGTGTACTCGACTGAGGTCGCCGGCGAGGGCAAGGCTGCTCTGTTGCCGCTCGACGAAGAAGAGTTCAAGAAGGGCCAGGTTGGCGATCTCAGTGTTTTGCCGACTTTCAGAGTCCGAATTCTGCCCGTGCTTGGAACAATGCCCGCCGTCTTTGGGTACATTGCCGCGAACCACGTCATTCTCAGCATTTCAGGTAAGAAAAACTCATGAAGCGAATACATCTGATCTCATAAGGCTAACAAAGCTTCTAGGATACCCCCTCGATTATGTCCCGGCCAAGAACCGCGACAAGCTCTACACAGACATTGTCGCGTTCGTCCAAGGCTCCGAGACGAGAATCGTCCACCACAGATTCGGCATCGAAGAGTCCAAGGGTCTCCGTATCCCAGTCTCCCTCGGCGACGCCGCCTTCTTGACCGAGGAGCTGTGGAAGGGACGCAGCGCCGTCACCGGTCTCATCAACAGACTCGTGCTGGTACGGTGGAGACGGCCCGAGGGCCAGACCAAGCTGCGCATTGGGGAGGGCGCCGAGGAGCAGAAGTGGTCCAACATTCGCTTCCGCGACTTGGTGTGTATGACTAGAGACGAGGCTCTCCGCCACGAGAAGGAGTACCTTAAGAAGGACGATACCAAGTTGGAGGACCTGTACGATGCGGACGTGATTACCCGGATAGAGGCTAGGCTGAAGGAAGCTATCGAGGTCGAGAAGGATAGACTTTGAGTAGAGAGTACATTTTAGAACCATATCACGAGTGTATGATTGAAAACCATACGTCTAGCTTTTTCCTCGTTTAGATGACCCTCAAGCTTATTCTCAATGTTAGCTCCGGAGAGACCAAGGTGTGGCTGGTGGTGCCATGTAGATGTGGCTGTGCGGAATTAAAGTGGAGGGCGCCCAAAGCTCTCATCGTCGCGCGGCGCGCCTGACTGGACTTCATCAACCGCGACTTGCTTCTTCCACCCTCAACCGAAGAGGTCTCCCGAATGCGACCTCTGCCACCATTGACACAAAAGATGGGCGCGGAATTTCCGAGTGTTTATTCTTAGCACAGTCTGTTGGATCCAGAGTTCCCGCTGCCAAACCCAGTGCCTTGAATAGGTAAGCTACTTTGTGTAGAAAATGAAATTCGGGGCCATTATGGCTGACCCCATCCCAGCAACTACTCTCCAGCCTCAGCTTCAACATGGCGCGGAAATGTTTCTAACATTATCTCCTGACGGATTTCTCTCTGGCTCAAAGCCGCTACTTGCGCAAATTCTCGAGTGAGATTTGGCAAGACTCCCCTCCCAAGAGCGCGGCGGATACTTTTTCCCATGCTGTCTTTTTTTCGACAACGCCAAGTTGGTTTCCATCTTGTTCCCACCATGCTCTACCAGTATTTTTCGCCCATTTTCTCGTCCACCTAATACACCTTCCTTACTCCCTTCCCTCACTCCGCCTGCATTGATGAAAGCTTTCACAAACGGTTACGGGACCATCGGGTTCTGCGGTTCTGCAACGGAACCCTCCACTCGATGGCAAGACCAGCACCAAAGAACAGAGATCTGAGCAGGCACCCATCTGGGTTTCCCCAGCATGGGATGTTTTCGCTGCGTTTGCTACAACGGCCGGCGCCACGTTCTTCGAAGTCTCGTGCCGCGATGACGACGATCTGCAGTTACCTAGAAGCTTTTCCTCGTGCGTCACGGCTTGCCGTTTCTGCTTCGGAGAGTGCTCGTGACAGGACAAAATATAGTTTTCAATCGGAGCTGGCCGGTACGTTAACATGATCCTCCTCAACAGATTCACACTCGGGAAGTGAAGAGCTAACGGCGGCTGCAGATTTCGAGAACTGCCAGCTTAGCGGCCTACGCAGCAAACACGATATAGAATTGCCCGGTGATGACCATAGTCCAAATAAGCCAAAGTTGCAGACAGCACGATGGGTTTACAGCCCTCGGCCGTTGCCCGTGAGAACATGAGAGAGCTAATCTGAGGGCAAATTCTATGTCGTCGAGGTGAGTGGTGTTTCAGCATGTCGGGTATAGATCTCAGGGCATCTCTCTCTGTTACCTGCAGGTTCGGAATGGTATTTTTTTAGGACGGGATGGGCTTGATTGACGCTCAGTCGTGTCATCTCGAGATGGCGGGCTCCCCTTGTATCATCAGCCCAAGGTTAAGCAAATCCCTTGGTCAACTTGTAATATTCATCAATAAACAAATGGCCGACCGCCTCTACCTTGCCCTCGATACCCTGTAAGGACTCAGGAAAGCTCCGAGGTGATCCTCATCGTGCATCCAACTACCTAAAAGGCCAGGTTACTTGAGCACTTGTACTTCCGACAATAACAAAAAACAAAAGAGTTCACCCCCCCCGGTGGCGAATGGGGGCTACATCTCCGGTGCTCATGCTGGGACTCGAACACGGGACCTCTCCAAGCCTTCACCGATTAGGCTGTTCGTGGACTTCAACCACTCCACCATCCAGCCAGTTTTGACCTGACCCCCAAGGGGGCGCCTGCTGGCTGGTGACAGGAACGGACTTGAGGGGGGGTATAAGGGGTTCTCACGGAAGGCACGGGAAGGTACGACCGTGGGATGAACGTTCGGTGCACTCGCCATCCTCGCATCACGTGCACCTCGAAGCTAGCGGCTCGACGTCGAAAACTACAGCCATGTGCTCGCACGCTCGATGAATCAACAGGTCTGCCCGTCGTCCAGAGTAGCATCTGCCTGTACGCCATCTGTGATGAGCTGGAGTGCGCCGGCCCGGCCATGCTGAGTCTGGGGAATATTAGCTAGCAGTCTATCGCCGGCGTCATCGCCACGGGCACACGCAGCAGCAGTCTTTTCCACGGCCTCATGTCCAAAGGACGAGTTCGCGCTGTGCATCACGCTGACAATCGGCCAGGCGGAAGTCTTGTTTGCCTGACGAAAGTCCACCCTGTTTCGTACTGCAATCCCTATTTTTCGGAACTCTGAAGTTGCGCAAGTCATGTTACATGCCATGCCCGTCTTCACTTTGCGGTGGATACCGAACATTGACGCAGAAGCCAAGACGCTACACAGCTGGGACCAAGGCGTTCGAATGGTCGACGAAGGAAGTGAGGGGCAGACCGCACTGGGCCAAGAATGTTGTCGAGAAGAGCGTGCGGTTAGCTTCTAGAAGCGTGGCGTATGAGAAAGAATGAGGTTGACTCGGAGAGATACGTTTGCCAGGCTATTATATCGTGAGATGCTCGATCGAGAGACCGAGACTTACGCTGGAGGAGATCGGTATTGAGAGAACCTCGGCATGGTGCGGCGGGCTGAGGGTCGATGGTACTACTGGGGGTTTGCAATGAAGAGAGCGTGGGGAAACCATCTCACCCTGCTTCACGGTCGCAGGATAGAACTCAGTGATGTACTGATGAACGCAATCTAACCGCTCACAAAACCAGTAAGTGGTGGTGTATTTAAGTCCTAGAACACGACATGTTCTAGATATTGAGAAAATGTTAAATGAATGACCCTAGTCCATTAGTGATGCGACGATGTCATCGAGAGCCACGAGTTGACAAACAAACAAATGCACGATGCATATAATCGGATAAATGAAAGCGCGATATTGCATTGATACAACGGGGAATATGTACATCGCGTCATCTCTGCACCCAAGAGGCACAGGTCGAGATCAACGGTCAACAAACGGTTGGTTACACGAGTGAACTTGGCCCCGATAAGACGCATTTCCCTAATCGGGGCGAATACGGCTCGCGCAAGCACGAAATCCTTCGTATAAGTCTACCTATGGGCTATGATTGGACAATCCATGTTGTTTCGAACCCCCAACGCGCAACACTCCTTTCCCTTGCCCAGACAGTCAGCATTGGCTTCGACCTCAAACAGGAAGCTGGATAAGCAATCTTGTTGCCTTCGAAATGGACTGTTACACAACTCGCTTCATTTATATAAGAATCATTCAGACCTCTCACGAGCTCGCAATGGGATAGCTTGCTAGGCTCGCCGTTGTTCCACCTTGAATGGTGGCCGACAACTCAGTATCGCTCGAAAGGAATCGAATTGTCTTGACGGTCATTACCATCTCGCAATGAGCGGAGGCGACGATTACTTCGGCCCGCAGGTGCGCGGCTACTTTGACTTTACCGTCTTATTCGAGCAGAGCATACTCTCCATCCTACCGTCCGCTCTCTTCATCCTCCTCGTCCCAGTCCGAATCTCTTCACTTTTACGCAATGGAATCCGCGTCCGCTCAGGGAGACTTCTATGGCTGAAGCTGGTACTGATAATTCACCCTTGTTGGCCCAACTCTGAAGCAAGAATACTAACAGGATCCCAGTCAGCCGTAACCACATTTCTCTGCCTTCAAATAGCCCTCATCACACTATGGTCTCTCCCAACCGCCACAAAAACGAAAACCTCAGTAGCAGAAAGCGCAATCGCCCTCATCGAGGCCATCGCAATAGGGGTCCTGTCCTACACAGAACACAAACGCTCTGTCAGGCCGTCCCTGCTTCTCGGCGGGTACCTCGTCCTGACCATCATCCTCGACACCGCGCACGCCAGAACGCTGTGGATCCGGGACGGTCTCACGCCGATCGCATGCGTTTTCACGGCCTCACTCGCTGTCAAGGCCGTCATGCTCGCGTTGGAGGAGACGCCGAAGCGCGCGTACCTGCCGGACAGCGAGAAGAATGTCGCGGTGGAGTGCACCACCGGCGTCGTGAGCAGGAGTCTATTCTGGTGGTTGAACGGCTTGTTCTTTCAGGGTTTCAGACTGCTCATTGGGTTGGAGGATCTGGGGCCGATTGATCCCAAGTTTGACTCGACGGTTTTGCTTGGTAGACTTGACCGGGTGTGGTCCAGGGGTAAGTCTGACACCTGTCTCTCTGCAGTCCAAGGAAGGGGAAAAGGGAAGAAACTCAAGCTGATCACAGAGCACCTAGCGGCGAAAAATAGCAAATGGAGCCTCATCAGAAGCGTGTTTTGGGCATACATAACCACCTTTCTCGCAGCGGTCCTTCCCCGATTACTCTTTGCGGGCTTCATCTTTTCTCAGCCCTTCCTCGTCAACCAGATTGTAAACTTTGTCGGGAGCCCTCGAACGGAAGACTCACGGAACGTTGCTGGGGGTCTTGTCGGCGCAACGGCGTTGATATACTGTGGAATTGCTGTAAGTTCTCCCCGCCCCCGTAAGATACTGCCATCTCGGTACCCAGTTAATAAGACGCTTTGCCAGGTCTCAAGATGCTGGTACCAGCACATGACTTTCCAGCTTGTGACGCTCTTCCGCGGCGGTCTCATCTCCCTCATCTTCAAGAAGACGCTCAGCCTCGATGCTTCCATGATCAAGGACTTGGCGCCCGTGACGCTCATGAGCGTTGACATTGAGGCTATTGCTGCGTCCATGACCTTCATTCATGACGTCTGGGCGGCGGCCATTGAACTCCCGATCGGAGTGTATCTGCTTTACCGACAGGTCGGCCCTCCCTGCTTTCTCCTGCTCATTCCAGGCCTAGGTAAATTTTTGTCGTGTCTTCATTTCTTTGACAAGTTATCCTGTTTCTCTCAGAAATGTCACAGATATACTAATACACATGTTAGTCTGCACTGCTGTCACATCCAAACTCTCCACCCTCATGGCGCCGGCACGTGTGGCATGGAACCAAGGCGTGCAGAAGCGTGTCTCCATCACCTCGTCCATGCTCACGCAGATCAAGGGCATCAAGATGATGGGTCTGACGGACCACTTCTCCGATATCATCCAGAAGCTGCGCGTCTCGGAGCTGAAGCTCTCCACCAAGTTCAGAATCCTCGTCACCGTTCTGAGTATCATCGGTAGATCCTCCCACTGACATCGCTTTCTTACCAAGAGAAAAGACTGACACAAAGCGTCCCTTCCCAGGCGGAGTTGCACAGCAATTCACTCCAATCGTTATCATCGCCGCCGCCGTCTTCTGGACAAGAGCGGAGCAAGGGCTCACCATCGCCGAGGCGTTTACAGCTCTGTCCATCATCGTTCTGGTATCGCAGCCCCTCATGAAGCTCATCTCGTCCATTATGCAGCTCATGGGTGCCATTGGCTGCTTCACGCGCATTCAAGACTTCCTCCTCTTGGATGAGATTGTCGACCAGCGGCAGATCATCACGGGCTCTTCCAAGGTTTCTCAGGACTCTGACCGCGCGCTGCCTAGTAGTATGCGCGGCGGCTCCGATTTGCAGCCTCTAACTCCGCAAGCTATCCAGCTGGCCAATGATAATGAAATTGAGCTTGTGTCTTTGAGGAGGACGGATCGATCCTCCGTCGCCTCGGGCGATACCAACAAGCCCGTGGTCATTATGGAAGATGCGACGCTAGTTCTGAAAGACGGCACCGAGATGATGAAGAATGTGTCTCTCACCCTTCGACAAGCTACCATATCAATGCTCGTCGGACGTGTAGGTTGCGGAAAGTCATCGCTGCTGAAAGCCATACTAGGAGAAACCGGCATCTCGACCGGGAGCATCACGCTTCACACCTTGTCCGTCGCCTTTTGCGACCAGTCCGCCTGGCTGCGCAACGTTTCTATCAAGGACAACGTCATCGGCCAGGCACCTTTCGACCAAGCCTGGTTCTCTGCCGTTGTGCACGCCTGCACGCTAGACGAAGACATTGCGCTGTTCTCCGAGGCCGAGGATACCATTGTCGGCACTGGTGGCGTAGCTCTGAGCGGCGGTCAGAAGCAGAGAGTGGTGAGTTTTGACTACTTACCGACATGAGCGGTATCATTGTAATCGCACCGATTAACTCACGCGAAAATGTAACAGGCTTTGGCTCGCGCCGTCTACTCTCGCAGGAAACTCCTTCTTCTAGACGACGTCTTCAGCGGCCTTGATAATTCAACGTCCAAAGCTGTCTTCCGGCGTCTTCTAGGCCCGGGCGGGCTCCTACGTCAAGCGGGCATGACGGTGTTGCTCGCAACGAACCATGGTAAGTCTGTTTTACCACGTAACAGCCCAGCGCCCAAGGTGTGACTGACAAGCCCGCAGTCAACTTCCTCCGCTCGGCCGACTATATCACCATGATTCAAGATAGTACCATTCTCCATAACCAAGTCTCTTTCGACTCTCTTCCGCGCTCCGCATGGGGCCATCTCGTTGAGGAAGAGACCAAAGGCAAAGACCCCGCAGAAGACGATGAATCAACCGAGGATCCGGTCAAAGGCTCGAAGCCTACTAGAGCAGATCGACCCGTCGCCGTCGCTCCCAGAGGCACAGAGGCCGAGCTGACGAGGCAGACGGGTGACACCGAGTGCTACCGGATGTACCTCAACTCAATCGGATGGCCCATCTTGATTGTGTTTCTCATCCTGAATATCTTGTTTGTTGCTTTCACCAAGATGCCTCGTGAGTGTCCCTGCTTCTTTTAATCAAACTTTGTTCTATACGAAAGGAGCTGCATTGCTAATCCGGGTTGGTAGAAATTTGGTTGCGAATTTGGACTGAGCACGGCACGAACGACCGGCCGGCTATGCATTTTGGTATCTATGTCATGTTTGGTCTCCTCTGCATCGTTCTCAACGGCGCATCACTAGGGTGAGCCTCCCGACTACATCTCATACAACAATTTCATCTTACTGACTATTCAAGTTTCTGGATGCTCCTCGCCATCCCCCGATCCGCGAACCACCTCCATCAAACTCTTCTCCAAGCAGCTCTTGCGTAAGACCATCCCCATCCCACCCCTGAACCCCTGACCGGCCTCATTCGCATCATTTGTCTCGTCAATGACTAACCCACCTCAAGCGCACCACTCTACTTCTTCACAACAACAGACAGCGGCGTAACCCTCAACCGCTTCAGCCAAGACATTGCCCTCATAGACCACCGCCTCCCCGTTTCCGCCTGGACCGCAATGTACAGCTTTCTCACCGTCCTCGCCGAGACCGCCATCATCGCCACGGGAAGCTCCTACATCGCCGCGCTCATCCCCCCGTCCTTCCTGGCGCTCTATCTCTTGCAAAAGTATTACCTTCGCACCTCCCGCCAGCTCCGCCACATCGACCTCGAAGCAAAATCCCCGCTCTTCACCCACTTCTCCGAGGTCCTGGCCGGGTTACCCACCATCCGCGCCTTCGCCTGGTCCCCCGCCATGCTCCGCGAGAACCACGCGCTGCTCGACGCCTCGCAGCGGCCGTATTACCTCTTCTTCTGCGTCCAGCGGTGGCTCAACGTCGTTCTGGACCTGTTTATCGCGGGCATGGCCGTCGTTCTCGTGGCGTTTGCGCTGTACTTTACAAACGCCACGACGATGGGCGCCATCGGCCTCGCCATGGTGAATATCATCAACTTTAACCAGACGCTGAGCGACTTCATCGAGATGTGGACCATGTTGGAGACGAGCCTTGGTGCGATCGCCAGGTTGAAGTATTTTGTGCGGTATACCCCGCGGGAGGACCGTGATGGCGAGACGGATGAGATGCCGCCGGCGTGGCCGGGGGGCGGAAAGATTGAGATTGAGAACGTGACGGCTGCTTATAGGCAAGTGTTGCATCGTGAGGCCTATACGGAAGCTTAAAGCGAGCTAACATCCGATCCAGCGACGAAACTGAACCAGTCGTCAGGAATGTATCCCTGACAATACAACCGGGTCAGAGGGTTGGTATATGCGGTCGCTCCGGCTCCGGTAAATCCTCTCTCCTCCTCACACTCCTCCGCCTGCTCGATCTCAAGTCTGTAGAAGAAGGAGGAGGAGACCTCAAGATCGCCTCCCATTCCCTCCTAACCCTCCCCCGCTCCACCATCCGCACATCCCTCACCACACTCCCACAAGATCCCGTCCTCCTACCAGGCTCCGTCCGCGAGAACCTCGATCCCGGAGGCCACACCCCCGACGCGGATCTGATTTCCGCCCTGCGCAAGATGAAGGTCTGGGAACCCATCGAAGCGCGGGGTGGTCTCGACGCAGAAATGTCCGCGACGGGGCTGAGCGCGGGACAGAAGCAGCTATTCTGCCTCGCGAGGGCGTTGTTGAGGATGCAGACGCGGGGGGAAGGTATTGTGTTGCTTGACGAGGCGACGAGCAACGTTGATCATGCTACTGATGAGGAGGTTAGAAAGGTGCTGGGGGAGGAGTTTGAGGAGGCGGGCGTTACTGTTGTTGAGGTCGCGCATCGGTTGGAGGCTATTGTTGGGTATGATGTCGTCGTTGTGATGCATGAGGGCCGGGTGGTAGAGGTTGGTAAGCCAAAGGAGTTGTTGGGTCGGGCATCGCGGTTTAGGAATCTTTGGGATAGTCGGGGGGCTTGAGAGTAGTGGAAGTATTCATTTCATCAGGTATCTACTCTCATGGGCGAACCTTGGTATAGAAGCGTGGGAGTTCCAGAATGGTCTCAAACAATGTAAAGATGTCGAGATCTGCACTGACAGATCTAAGCCCCTTCTAGTGTTCTTCAAAGGCATGTGAGTTATTAACCTTGTCAACTAGCACAAATCTTGAAATTGAAAAAAAAAAGCAACAACCCTTCAAAGTTGGCACCTCCTCGAGAGCTAAGTACGGAATTGTTGCAAGGTGCTCAAGCAGGTGGGAAGATGTCCAATCTTGCGAGATTCGACATATGCGTTCCCCTCACCCCCTTTCAACTTATGGATTACGACGGTGAAATATGACACAAACTTGAGTTGTTGACTGACAGTAAAATAATCTGCATATGAGGATACAAGGAACTCTATAACATGCACAGAAAGCGCCATACCCGACCGGGGTCCAAAAATCGTCAACAGCTGGCTCAACGCAGACGACCGCTGCTACCCTGGTAAGAAACAATAACACATCTCACCAGAAGAGAAGAAGATCTGCAGCACAGAACGCTCGTCCCTTCATAATCAACTGCTTTTCCAATGTGGTCAGAGCAATGAGAGCAATGGGAAAAGGTATTGGGCAGGTCCATCGGCTTTTCGTTTTCGTTACTTCTGTGGGAGGACTTGCATACTAACTTGCATCGCGGTATGAGCACAACCACGCTTAGGCGTAAAGCTCGGCCATGGATCTCCTCAACATGGAATCTCATATCAATACTTTGACAATCGACTTTCAGATGATTGGTTAGAGGGGGAGGCCATTCTCGTGATGACGATTTCTAATCAAGCCAATCTTCATGTCTCGGATGATAGGAATCGTCGGCGGCCTAGCGTAGAGAGCGCCGAGGAGAATTTTCAACAGAAAACATCTTATTATCAAATACAAACCCACGTGTGCATGGTTGAGTTCAGCGTTTTCCGTCTGAATATGGATCAGGTAGAGTTCCTTTCTTCCAGTCTACCACAGGCAGAGGGCACCGAGGGCGCGGTACCTGATGCTAAACAGCAACACCACGAAAGGTAGAAAAAGTAAAAGAAAATAGCGCACCAACATTGCGTGCTAATTCCCTCTCGCTGTCCTATTTCCTTTCTACTGTCCCTCGCCTGACGTTGTACCTATGCCACGGAGACGGAGATGTCGCCGACAAAAGGGGACAATCAACAAGAGGCAGAGGGGGGGCACCGGGGTACTCCAGTCTCCTGTTACAACGAATGACCTCACGAGCAATATTCAAGGTCGGATCGGCTCCAGCGGGGAAAGAGACAAGAGCAATGGCAGGTGCCAAGGCATCAATGGGTCGTAAGAACGGGCGAATAATGCGCCTCGTTGCCCAACATGTGTGCCCAAAGTAGTTCGCAGTTGCGATCGAGAGTTGCCTCATTTCAAAAGGGGGGCTTTTGAAACCAGAGAGTCTGTGTGCCTGGCCCCTGGCTAAGCGCCCAGCCTGTGCCGTCGAAGGTGCCCTTTAGGCCAAAAGTGTATTATGAACTCATAGCGAAAATTTGCTATACTTTTTTGATACAGTTGAAATTTGGTAAATGACGATATTTGTCCAGTAGGTGGGTAGATATCTGTCGCGCTCAGGACAGGAATTCATAGACTAAGTAAAGAGACGTAACTCATAACCTCGAGAAATAACTCGAATATGCCAACAAGATCCATGTACCTGGATCATGTACAATGCCGCGAGGCTTAGCTTTGGTTTTCCGTACACAGTAGAAGAGATGGGTATTTTGAGCTCGAGAAGATTGCGCAACGCCTCCCGATAGCAGCCAAACAGGCATTCGTGAAGCACCGAGATAGCCCCCGCTGTTTTAATAAGAGAGAAATCGAAGAAATCAAACGCCTTGAAATAAGACCACCGAGCCGTGAGGCTTTTCCATCTTGTTCAGCCGCGAGGCTCTCCGTCTTGGGACCGCCATTGGCCGTTAGTTCGCACGACCGGATAATATAGAGCTGCTCTTCGTCATGGCTCGTAAATTCAATCCCGCGGTGCTGTATGTTCCCGCCGGGGTAAAACGTTATCGAGCCAATCTCTGAGCCTTATGAGATCCTGTGGCGGTCGTGTGACCGATATGTTCTACTCCACCACAATTTTGAGATGCGCTCCTGTTGCCATCCTTCAACATTTTGTTCATATACGCTTGATCTGGTATATTTTTCAGCCAAGCATTGAAGCTCCCGAGGCGCAATTTCCTTCGTTGCGCGTACGCGGAATGATTTAGTGTCGGTGTCGACGAGAACTCTCGTGTCCGTGCCGGTGGCTATGCGAGTGACCATGCCTGTGAGAGTGGTGGCCTTCTCTGTGCCGGGAGGATGAGCCACTCCGTTCCAGTTCACGCTCCATCTCTTCGACTCGTGATCTGTACCCTCGTACAATCTCTTTGATATGCCTTATTCGATCAAAGTCGAGTTCCAACTCGTCAAGTTGCCGGAGAAGCTCGTGATACCGCTGGATCTCGGCGTCAGCACCCTCGATCAGGTTGCCAGCTCGGTCAAATTGGGCCATGGTAAACATTTGGCTTTGTTCGCTAAGGTAAATGATCTGTTGTTCGATCTGGTTCATGACCCGGTCAAAGTACCGTCCTAGAGCTGCCAATGAGGTGCTGTCCAGCAGCAGCAGTCCTTGGCTTGACGCGCGACTTGCCGCTCGCGACGAATTCGAGCCGCCTCCGCCTGTCCCCTGGCCCAATGCCGCTTGTCCTTGACGCAGTAGCTGTATCTCTTCATAGCTCAACCCTAATTGCGTGTCCGGCACTGCATTGGCTTGGGTGGTCGACATGGCTCGGTGCAGCGCACCGTGCGCAGCTGGGTGAGAGCAAGACTTGCGGTTGTGATTGAGATCGTTGCGCGTTGGGATTGTCTATGTTCGATGATGGATGATAGCCGTGCGGCACTACAGCGGCGGCGACGAGATTCGGGGTATTGTCCCTGTCGGAGGTGGGGTTCGAGGGAGAGGAGGGGTTTGACGACAGTCGGGGGCGAAGGCGAGAGGTGCAGCTGCGGATGCGAGCGCGACGAATAGCATGGGCTGTGGCTCGGAGCCGGCAAGTAATGTAGCCTTTGTTTGGGCGATGGTAACGCGCGCAAAGTCATGATATCGTAGAGCCAACGGAGATCATTGCTGGTAGATCGGGCTGCGAGCTCGGCGCGCGGGCGAATTGAGTTCAGACTGGCCCAAAGACTATTATGATAAGTGTGGCTTCGATGATGTCGAATGGGTAGACTGTATCGTCGTAATGTTCGAAAGCATGGGATCGAATCGGATCGAAGGAGTGTCGTCAAAGTGTTCAAATGGGCGGGGGGGAAGGCTGAGGAAGAGGCGTACAGAAGGAAAGGGGAGGTGAAGGAGAAAGAGTGAGAAGCAGTGTTCGAAGTTGGGGATTTTTTTTGGTGATACACAACCGGTGAGTCCGCGCCCTCCACCGCCGTGATGCCTTGCGAGTCGCTGCTACCCGCACAGGTCTTGGTTCAGGTCACCAAGGCTCAGACCTAGACCAGGTCTCGGCCGCTTTGACTTGTTGGGGAGAAAACAGCGCAAAGGCGCCGTCGCAAAGGACAGGCGAACGGGATGGTCCCTGGTGACGGAACACAGCTCCTGGTACAGACAGATTTGATGTATCCAGACGGTGGGAGGTTGTTTCTTTTTCCCCTGCGCAATGGGGGAAAGCTCGGTATCAGCTGACGGTCGATCCCTGAGGCGCTATAGCAGCTAGCAGCAGCGACAATGTAGGAATACTGCTCTGGAGGTAGCGAAAAGCAATCTTGGCGGGAGGTGGCTGCAAGGCTAAGAATACTCGGTAGGCAATCAATGGATGATCCTGGCAAAGCAGTGACGGGAATTGAGCCGGCAAGGAGTCTGTAAGTATAACCGAAGATTGTTGGTTGCCAGCCTTATTGTCAGTCTCTCGTTCCGTTCCAAAGTCCCAGTCGCGAATCGTGAGGTAAGGTAAGGAAGGTAGCGCACGCGGCAGACAGGAGCGGAGAGTAAGTGGTGTGTGGATGGACAGGAACCGTGTGGCATCCCTCGGTCGATATCGTTAATTCAAGACAAGCGCCGTGATTCCGCCGTGGTGGTATTGCAAGATTATTGGCCTTCCTATTTGGACGGAGGCCTGCTGGGCTCGTGATGATGGATTCCGAGAGGGTGTGATGGGGGTTGAAATCGCTATCTACTACCTCGGAGAAGGCCAAGACACCCGCGGCTCGATGAACGTTATTGCTAGGGATGGTTCGAAAGATGGTCGGTAATTGAGGGGTCGAGAGACAGGTGATGGTGTTGGCGATGCGACGAGCGGACGAAGGGAGGGGAAACGATGACGGGTGGCACCAGACTCATGAGCGAGCGAGCGGGAGCAAGACAAAGGCTACCAACTATCGAGGCGAGGTAGACGAGTATGCTGGAGGGTGGCGGATGGGCTTGCTATTTGAGGGTCTCATCAAATGTAGCAAGTTGTTGAAGTTGTTGTTGTTGGATGGTCCCTTACACCGGTAGATGCAGGTGCACGGGGTGGCGAGGTACCTCGACCTCGCGCAAAGTACCGTGAAGAAGGAAGTACCTGTCTCCTGTGGCTCGGTGTGACGATGATGCGCCGGACATCCAGGTAGGTTGTTTCCCAAAGTTTTGACCTTCACAAACGGCAGGTACCTCACGGCGCATTCTTCCTTCCGCGTCTGTTCACCACCTCAAGTTCCACCGCTGCCGCGTGATTGACGTCCTCCCTCGCTCGTACAACCTCTACCATTTTCTTGATTCCATGACACTTCCTTGTTTCTAGATCCCTCCTCATCGCCATAATTGCTTCGCTCCGGGTGCCGTTTTCTGCTGTCCCCGAAATTGAGTTGCCCATCTCACCGCGTTTTCCTTCGCTTTGCCCACGAAACAAACCCCCCGGCCGGCGCAACTAGGCTCTGTCAACAAAGAAACATGGGCCTCATCGGAGCATCCGAATGACTGCAACTCGGCGGTCTGTCGTTTCGAAACCTTGGAACATCGGCCAAGCTACCTATCCATCGGCAGCTCTTGCTTTCCCGTGGGGATACCTGAGCGGTCAGTGCCTACCCTGGAGTCCGTCACACTGGGTTCGCTGCCGCAGGGATGATAGCTTCGAGCGATCCCCCGCCGGCATCCCGGGGAATGCGGCTTGGTACGAGGTACGGAAGTACGCTCAGACGATATCCTGACTGACCCTCGCCCTGACTACCTATGTACGGATACAAGTTTGGCATTGGGGCTGGACGGACAGGTGACATTCCATTCCATCCGCATCCTACCTTGTTCAACCAACCTTCAAAGTTCGATAGGAGAGCCCATGGCTTTTTTCCGTGCTTCCAACTCCTCGGCAGACCAAATAAAACTCATGCTACCTCTACCATGTTACTAGTACCACTATCGTTCGTGCTGGTGTCGGCGTGGTCTTTCTTTTTGCCAAAGACACATGTCATGCTCGACCGGGTCAATTGCTACAAGGAAATACGTCACATCCCCATCGGCACAGCCTGAACGAACCGATGCACCAATACGATCGTGTGCCGAAGACGAGGAACAACTGCTGCAGCTGCCGCGCTGTGGGATGCTGCAGAGATGTATGCACATGGTCGCGCCACGAGATTCAACGCAGCAGCGATATGCACAACACATCACGCCTTGCATGACACTTGCCTCGGGTATTGAACCCCCTTTCCTAGCACTTGACAGATCTAAGCCCAAATCTCAGTTCCCATCAACCAGGCTTGTTCGAGTATCTCCTCAACACCGAATGCATTGCTCTCAGGTGTCTGACAATAGTGTTGATGCAGAATATTGGTTTTCAAACACCGCTTCAAAGCTATCTTTTGACGTTGTTGAGACTGTAGAACCAAGCCAGAGCCGGAGTCAACTTAGTCTTGGCCATCGACGTGACGCAAATTGGGCATTTTCCAATACACAAGTCAACGTTCAACGGTCTGGCGGAATACGCCACTCGGCCTAGAACAAATACCCACGGAATGTGTCACATCCTAGTCCCGGTATTCCGATACCCACAACTGTCCCGACCTGACGGGCCGGAAAAGACTGTATCTTTCTCCGGATGCCGGGCCACAGCGGGCACCCCACACCGATGAATCCACATTTCATCACACCTCACTTTCACCAATCGGGCCCACGGAGCTCTTCCCTCCGTGGAGTACACCTCGAGATACTCAACGTATTTTCCCGTCGCTATCGCATATTCGGACCAACGGGCAGAATATCGAAGGCTTCTTGCCTCTAGACAAATTCGAATCCGAGAAGATGTCACGGGTCAAAGAGTCAGCAGTCTCGCGCCTGTACACGCTGGGCTTTGTTCAGGCTTAGGAGAGCAGTGTCTTACGAGATACGCGAGGCGCAGGCAGGGAGTTGAGGACTTCATTATACAATTGTCGGCATCTGGAATATCGGAGCGGTACACGACCCGAATAGCCGGCACGTTTTCTCCAAGCCAAAAGTGACTCTGGCTAGGGGAGCATTGTGTTTTCCGCTCGTTTCGGTCCATCTCATGCCGCTCCGGATTCTTAGTTCGTATTGTCATGAGGGGTCGGCATGGCTACCCTCAATCACGTCCGCAGGTCACAAATTGACATAAGAAGCTAGTATCTCTGTGCCCATGATGTTGCCAGACTTCTTGTTAGATCGTCTACACCGAACGTCTTTGTCAGGCGAGTGGCTGCTGATACACCATAATGATGATGATGCACTCACTCTCAACGGTACTGGCTTGTGTCTCTGCTGTCACCGCAACTATCTTAGAAAATGGCCGCCCAAGACTAACGAGCTTCACCGATACGAAGGTGGATCCGACTCTTGGCGACTTCAAGACGTACGATGCCGATGCCGATGAGATATCATACAAAGGTCGATGGGATTCTAAGCAGATATCGTGGTGGGCGTAAGTGTACCCTGGCCCCGTGGAAAAGGTTCATAAACTCAGGCTGTGTAGAGCCCCGGGCATCAAATTCGGCTTCACCGGTCAGACAGTTGCAGTCACGTTCGGTAATCAGACTATCAGCAGCACTCTTGTCGCCTACAGAATCGCGGGCCTAGACTGGATGCACACAAATGTCACGGCGGGCGGCACTCACCAGTTCGTGAGCCCCAAAACTCCAGGCATCGACCTAGCTGGTCCTGTCAGTCCAGTCACTTTTGAGATGAGAGTGACAAACTGGGCTTATGGAGTCCAAATCGACAAGGTCCATGTGGATTCTGGAGAACAGCTTGTCAAGATTCCCGACTATCCTCGTCGGGTCGAATTCATCGGTGATAGCCTGTCAGCAGGCATGTATAATACGTACGAGGCGCTTGCGGGATTTGCCTACGGTGTCGGCGCGGGTCTGGGAGACACTGAGTATTCCATCACGGCCTACCCGGGCATTTGCGTTGCTGACCAGGACTGTTGGGGCAATCCTCGAGGGCAATCTCACCAATGGTTCTACACATCGGACACGGGTGGGCGGGCGGCCAACATATGGGGAGGTATGTGGATTCAGTCTCAAGCAGAGAATCAGGCGAAAGCAGCCTCCTCAAACCAATTACAGATCACTGCAGGATATTCTGGAAAATATTTTGTTAACTTCAGCCTGTGCAGATGAGCCAGAACCTTGGGACTTCTCCAAAAGCCCTCCTGCCGACCTAGCTGTCATCAACCTCGGCACAAACGATGCGAATGCTGCAAACAACGTCACCAAAGCCACCTACGTTGAGCATTACAAGAGACTCATTCAGGGTATCCACGGAAAGTGGCCCGAAGCTCAGGTCATAGTCATGGTACGTCCAACCTTCCAGTCAGTATCTAATTCCCACTAAATGCAACCATAGCAAATGTGGCAAGGCTTTTTCCAAGATGGCAATACGTACGGTCAAAATATCGATCTTCGGGACGAAGTAAACAGCGTTTACGAGTACTTCAACTCGGAAGAGTATCTAACCAACCCCACAACTTGGGATGCTGTCACAAACACCACCGAGCAGACGGGTAAGCCGGTGTCACCTTTCGTGCATTTCTTCAACACCACAGGCATCCTCCAGCACAACGACATCGCGCCACAGTGGCATCCGACGGATGTCGGCCAGATCAAGGTCGCGAGCCACCTGATACAGTACATCACGCTGAAGCTCGGCTGGCCCCTGTATGCTACCGGACCCGAGTGAGTCTTCCATGCTTCGATCTCTCCTCTACGGATCGCACCTTCTCACGATATGCTTGCATTGCCTTCGGATCATGACGAGGAGGCAAAGTGAAATCCTGTATGCTGACCCCCCTTCGACAGGGTATACCATGAGACCCTGTACTGGAACGATCAGTCTAGCTATTAAGACGCCCCTGTGAACTGGAGGTTATACAAAAGGGGACTCCAAAGATACAAAGCCATGGCACAGGCAGCCTCGGGCCATACGGCACGCCTGTCAAGAAACGCCATCTGTTGTTATAGTCTATAGTACACCTTGATATACCAGCAACTTTCCGAGTTGAAACGCCGCCACCGCAGCCAGACGAGTCGAAACGCGATGACCCGCACGTCAAAGTGATGACAGTAATTGACATCAAAAGAAGACTGAGAGCCAAGCTTTGAGCCTCAACAGATCTTTCATGCCAACAGGGGCCCTTGCCCCCGGCGACATCTTACTATATCGTCACAGAGGATGCTATTCTTGCGTCCGGACGAGCCAGCCTCCGGCCTCTGTCCCCCGCATCGGAAGAGCCCATTCGGGGGGTTGACAGGTGTCTGGCGCGGATACTGTTTGAGATGCCTCATGGGCCAGGGGCCAGCCTCACAAGGCTACCCTGAAGGTTAGGAGCATATCATGCATCTTGGCCACCACAAACCGCATGGGAAGGCGAAAAAGATGCATCGTCTGACGCCTCAAGCGTGCTTGGCTCATCCCACTTCCCTTGAAGGATCGAGGCGATGCGCATGAGGCCCGGCTGTCAGATCGTGGATAAGCTGAACAACTTGAGACCGTGGAGGACTAAGCGATGCCCAGCAACTCGCCTTTGAAGATGGGATGCCACGCGTTCAACCTGCTTGACAAGCGGTGGCGGTAAGCTTGTGTCAAGTCTGACTTAGGATACAGACGAAACTTGACGGACTGATGGCAGGTAGTTGACAAGCGAACGATGGGTCACAGCAAAGCAATGCATAATACGGCAGCAACTTCGAAGCCACATTTGACGACTCGCTTGCAATTTGACTATGACCCAGCTGCTCATCGCTCGCACTTTGCGAGAAGCCAGCCGCCCCTCCCAAGGACACACGATCCTGTGAAGTGGGTAGACTTTGTTTCTCACCGCCTAAACTCCCTTGACGGCTGTCCCGGCTCGCAGCATGTATGATTTGCCGGACGCATGTCGATGTGAAAGGTCCTATGGTCATCCGGTTTAGGGTTCGGGGGATTTACGCACTCTATCGACGATCTTTCAACCAGGAGATTCTCGAAACACGTTGCCAAACTGCGAATCCCCGGTACTCAGGGTCTTCTTGCTCTCCCGCTTTCCCAATACCCTGGCTGGTTATCTCTCCCTTTACCTCACGGAAGCTTCGTTTCCGTGAAGCTCCCTGCATCATGATTGATGAACCCAAGCGCCTGTGCGGAGCTGTCGTCCCTGGGGAGGAGTCTTCCTGGAGCCTCGATGGACACCCTCCACTACCCTAACCACCCCCTGGTGGAGGATATTCTCATTTTTGGTACCGCAGTATCCGTACCACACTGGGAGAACGGAACGCTCACAAAAGACGGTCTGGCAAGACCCATGCCCATTCGGAGTCAGCCATGAGCGTAATGGGATACCCCAGCTTTGCGCCAAAAGCCCGGGGACTCTCCAAGTTGGGACGAAAGAAGAGAGTCGGAGACAGACAAGGGGAGGGGAAAAGGGCCAAGCCAGACCATGAGACCAGACGGCGGCCATGCGTGCGTCACACTCGAGTCGTGAGACTTCTCAAAAGGGACGAGCCTGGCGCACCGACGCCCGGCCGTGAATGCGAGAATAGGAAAGTCATGACCGATTGGAGGCCCAACGACGAAGCGGTACGGATACGTTACGGCATCTTCCGCCGACCTTGCGGTTCATGTCGTCTCTTCGTCGGCCGTGGTCTGCCCGACTTGCTGTCGTTCGTCCCGGCAAGGGGGGGGGGGGGGGGGGGGGGGGGGGGCGAGGGGGGCGCGGCGGGGGGGGCGGGGGGGGGGTGGGTGGGGGGGGGGGGGGGGGGCGGGGGGGGGGGCGGGTGGGGGGGGTGGGGGGGGGGGGGCGGGGGGGGGGGGGGGGGGGGGGGGGTGGGCGGTGGCACCCGTGGGAGCCTCCGTCATCTTATTGAACCCGTCCTCTTCTTGCTTGCTCTGGCTGTTATCGTTTTTCCCTATTGAATCTACCAGTGCCAAGTGGTGCTGTCTTTCCCTTTTTCTGCCCTCCTCACCCCCACAGACACACACCCGGCAATGTGTTAGCGTCCGGCGATCCACGAGCTAGGAGGGGGAAGACAAGCAGCCCACGCCCCAAAGTTTCGTCGATCGGTTTCGCTCCCTGGGGTGTGTGTGATGTGATGTGATGTGCGCTCTCTAGGTATTGATTGCACTCGAGTCAATATTGAACAATGGAATTGTCCTGTCTCGGGGCTATATTCTCTTTCTGGTTGAGCGAACGCCGGAAAAGAAGAAAGGAAAGCAGGCAGAGATACGGAGGAGGGGGGAAACGAAACGTGAAAAAAGAGTTTACGGGTGGGTTGGGTTGGTTGACAAAGCTGTTAGTAAACCACCGACATGAGAGACACTCGGGCGACGTTGGAAGCTGAAGCGAACACTGGACGACACACGGCACATCTCCACGGGTGCTCCCAGCGCTGCTGCTTGGTGATGATGATTTTACAAGGTGACTTTTGGTCGTGATGGTGGTCATGAAGCTCACAGAGTTCGCACCGGCGTCCGCGATCCCGCTTGTCAAGATTCAGAGTGAAGGCGACGTTGCCGCAAAACCCAGCCCAGCCCAGCTTCTTCTACGCACACCACACACGCCCCCCTAGCCTACCCTATCTTACACTACCCTTCCCCTCTCAGTTCTCCCCCCAACCTCCCCAAGCCACCTGAAACGGGAGGGTTGTCACAGACGTGGACGAGGGTGTCTTTCTCGTCCCTGGGTGGAAGCAATACGTATCTGTAGAGTTCCATCGCATCTGGGCTTTTTTCTACGACCACGGTTTGGATTGGATACCAAGGCCAACTTTGAGACGTTCTTTGCAATTGGCTCTAGTCTGGTCTGGTTATCCGTACATGATGGAGCCTTGTCTGCCTCGTGGTCATTGTAGCCGCAATAGCCGTCTCTTAATGCTATCCTTCGTCAAACCTACATGTATTATCCGTACCTGCCACGTTTTTCTCGAGATCTAGCTCCACGACTTTGACGTATTTTCCTCATTCTGTAACTTGAAAGTCAGAATGCGGAGCAGACGGAGTTACAGCGTAGGGTTTTCTAAGAAACCATGCGGGATGGCTAGACTATGGCTGCCATGCCCAATTTCGGACTTCTCAAGTAACAATACTGGTAGCATTCGGGATGCGTACGTAAGGACGTTGGGCTGTCTGCGACGTTGACGATCACTAGCCCTTTGGAGTCTCGGATTCGGTATGCAGAGTCGGGCCGTGGTGGCTCTGCCGCCTTCTCTATCATTTTTTCTATTCCTATTACTAGTGACTTTCGCGAGGGAATTTCTCCAGGGACTACCAAAGACACCGTGAATCCTTCGGCAGTTGGCTAGCCTGATAGTCGAATCGGCAGCGGGCAGCAATCCGCTGCCGTCTGTCTGTAAATCTGCGAAGAGATGGGGAGGGGAAGGGCCGAGAGGGGGAAAGGAAAAGGGTCCAGGCCGTCGGCAGCTGTTCGGAATAGGTGGTTGATCATGTTGATCAAGATGATCTTTGGGATCGCCCGGGGAGTTCTCCGTAGGGAGAGTAGCACAGAAGGGAAAGGGGAGATGAGGAGCCCGACAAAGCAAACCACGATGGGTTATTCGGGATGATTGCGGATAGTTGGGATGTCTTGGTTGATCTTGTCTTTGGCCCCATTGCAGGGATAGAGATTGGATGCTCGTTCGTCCTCATCCTCCCTTTCCAGGCTCTTTCAGACGTTCTCTGTCCGTCAAGACGGTCCCATCGTTTCGCGGACGGTTGCTTCTGCGATTGTCACTTCTTACTAGCGCAGTGGCGTCGCAGCGGAAAACGTTAGGTGTCATTCCCAGGAAATGCTGCCGTCCGAGCGGCGAGCAGACGAGATGGACGTCGCAGACGGCATCTAGCAATGAGGAAAATTGGAGGAACCCACAAGTCCAAGTTTGTGTCTTCTTTTCCTCTTCGCTTGGCGAGGCTCAAACACTGACGTCTATAGTGTTGCGCTTTTGTATAGTGTAGAAATAAGCGAGGTAACCTGATGCGCAACTACAACAACAGCCCAGCCTGTCCTTCATCTGACTGTTTCAGCAATGTGGCTTGCTGCCGGGAAGATGGTGGACGCTGGGGAAGGGGGGAGGGAGTGTCATCGCAGCATTGAGTTGGAATTCGCAATGGCAGACTGGCTCGTCCGTCTGAACCGGTCGTCATTCCTCTTACCGCTGGGCTCAAACTGACAGGCAGCGGCCTGCCAGCGGCCCGGGACTCCTCTTTCTTCAGATTTTTGGCTCAGGTCTGGGCAGCAAGGCTGTACTTCGGCGTGTTGTGTGTTAGAGTGTAAGGTTGCTCATCGATCAGATGAAAGGCTTTGAAACACAACGTGTGGCCATCATCTTTCCCCCTCTGACCTTTGCACACCGCACACCGGGGGAGTGGGAAAGAGATGAAGAAAGACGTGCGGTGTAGAATGTGGTGTGAGCGCCGCTGAAGACAAAGTTCAACGGGCCAATAGGTTGTCGACTAAGACGAAGGCGCTCACGTCTCGGTTGAGCGGTTGAGCCATCTCCAAAAGAAGGGATCCCCCGTCTAGCAAATTGCGTGAGCATCCAGCGTATACTCTACACTACCTTCGCACACTCTGCGAACACCATGGTACGACTCTACCTTACGCAAGCAGCGCAGTGCTCGTGGTATGGGCGTGGGACATGGACAGAGTTTCCTGCCGTCCGTCGCCGGTACCATTCGGAGGGGACGCGCTAACCTGGTAGTCGACGGACTCCCCGTCGTGACGGGTTCGTTCTGGGAAACTTGGAGGACGAGCCAACCAAATTTCCCACCGCCGCGACACTGGGAACGGCGATGGGCTGGTTTAGCGGCGTAGCGTGCGATTTCCCAGGCATGAGTAGCATCGAACGCACGTTTACAGAAAGATAGGCCCCGGGGGTGAGTATGATGTGGGAAGGGTTGAAGGGTCGAAAGACTGGACTGGGGAGGGGCGGAGGGAACGCACGAGACTCCAATAAAGAAGAAGAGATCCCCGCCAAGAAAGGATATGAATCGTCTGAGGTCTGCAAAGCAAGGAATGCCGGTCCCTGGTCGTGCAAGTCTGCGTGCGAGTGCCGACCAAGGCTCTCCCAGCCCCAGCCCGGTCAAGAAGCATGCCGGATCCTGAGTCGTCGGCTCTGCAGGAACAGGCTCAGCTGGAGCCCGTGATCGGCACGCATCCCCCTGCTCGGAAGCCCTGCAAGGGTTCTGCTTGTTTGACTTCGACTTTATGATATTGAGACGGAGCTGGGACCGGCTAGACGGGGTGGGCATGGTGAGTGGCCGACCCCCCCCCCCCCCTATCCCCATCCCAAGTTCCAGCTAGTCAACTGCCCAGTAGTTGTAATCCTCGCTTTCTCGGGCGGTCAGTCAGCGAGAACCTGCGCTCTTCCCTTCGCCGGTTGAGACGGTGGCAGTGGGAAAGCCTAGAGAGCATGTCAAATGCAACATGAGATGCAACAGCTGGCGAACGCCTCTCTATATCGTCGATTACTACGTTATCCCACATCACGCGCGACACGATCAAAATCCAGTATTGAAGATACGCTGGACGGGGCGATGACCTGTACCGGATCGCCGGTCCCCAGAGCGAGATTTGCTAATAACCCGACATTCATGCCCAAAGGGATCTGTCGCCTCTCACTGTGAGAGCCAGTGCTCAAGGCTCATGACGCCATGGGGCAGATCAGGCCATCGAGAGCTCTTGGCACTATCCGTCCTAGACTTTTCTCGTCTCTAGTGTCTCTTGTCTGTTTAGGCTCGTCCTTCCAGCCAGAAGCTTGAGGTCCTCGTTCGGCGCCGAACAGCCAAGAAGAGGAGGAACCAACGGCTAGCAAGTTGCGACGACCAAGAGAGAGCAATAGGAGCACGGATTCACTAGGGCCATCGCAGGCTTCCCGACGAACGTCAGCAAGGACAGGCCACCGCTGCCACTCTTCCCGGCGCGCCGGGCAGGGTAGGGGGCTCGGGAAGGTGGAGGAAGGGGCCCCAAACTATCGTTAGCCAAGATCGCTCCGCCAAAGGAGTGAAAGGTGTGCCCCCCCTCGTCCTTGGGTTTGACTTTCTGGCGTGCAGCGCTAGAAGGATTTTGGTCTGCGTCTAGCGTGAGGACAGAGTCATTAGTAACTAGCCGTGCTAACCTACCGGGCTCCGTACACTTATAATGCCTTATTAGAGACTAACCTTTCGACTCCAAGATTGCAGTGAAAGCGCAGGGAGGGGCAGAAAGGCAAGCACTGCCCTGTGGCTGACGACAGTGAGATGAACACTGAAAGCAATCACTCCACGAGTCCATGCTCTACGGAATATCCGTAGCGCGCGTATGTAGATTACTTCGTACATTACTCCGTACTGAGTTTCTTCATGGAGAGAACGGTTGCCGGCTCGCTCTACCCACAGTCTACGGAGTCCAGCGAGAGATAGTCATTGTCGTCGGCCCCTCCTCCCTGCGTCGGGCGAGTTCCTTTTGGCTCTGCATGCAAACCGGGCTCCCACGCCGTTTTCCTGTGGATTTTGTGCCTGGCGCTGCAGGCATCGTCCCTCTTCTGCGCTGCGAGATGGAATGGTGATCACCGTTTGCGGGTCGAATCCATCGTCTTCGCAACTGGGAAAGGGCTTGTCGAGGAAGACCGGTGTGGAAAGGGGGCATGAAAAATAACAATAACAACAACAGTATCGTCATCAAAGTAAGGGTCCATTCCCATGCGATGACCAAAACACCAGACAGCTCGCAGGGCACAGGTCGTAAACAACTAGAGTACATTTGGAGAAGGGTGCTACTCCGTACATCCGTGCCAGCGGCGCTTGAAAGCCTCATCTCGGAGCGCCAGTCGATCCACTCCGCGTCCGCCCGACTCCCGAGATTGGGCTTCCCATAACAAGCCGGCTTCCTCGGGGTGTTTTTTGACAAGCTTGTCAAGCCATGTCTTAGACTCGTAAGTCAACAACCCCGCTCGAGGGGGGAAGAGTCCCCATTTTCTCCAACAGGATGCCAGCGAAGGAAAAGCTTGGTATTACATACGCACGTATTGACATGAGTACGATGAATTAAGGGTCCGGAGATCCATCCATCCATCAAAACAATGAGTGCCCATGATGGGCAGAAGATTGACTCGATGGGTAAAACACGGAATAATATAACATAATTGCAATTAAGAGCGCCTTGATCCTTTGCGAATCATATCAATAGAGTTCTACAGACCCTGGCTGATCAAAGGGGCCGCTCCAAATGAATAAAAGAGGGTAAAAACATTAACATTCATTATATTACGGAGTCACGAAGAAACAAAAAAGAAAAGGGGGGCGGAGAAACGACAGATCGATATTGACAAACAAAACACCTGGCCGAAAAGCTTCTTGTCAATATTGCAGCATGGCACATGAGAGACTTTGACGTTGCAGGCCGAGTCAGGACGACACGAGAAGCTTAATGTGCCGCCGACATAACAGAGCACCTCTCAATCCTTTCTGCCCTGCCCGGCAAGAAAGAGACGAATGGCAGCAGAAAAAGTAGTTCGCGCCACCAGGCCAATAAAGCGGAGTCCCCCCAGCCGTTGATGCTACGCCATCGTCTCCCCTTTTTGGCGCCGTTGCACCGTTGGAGCCGCGATGGGAAAGCCGGCCACGTCGTAACAGGTCGTAAATGGACATTTTCCGACCGTGGCCCCGAGAATTTGTCCCCAAACTGCGTACTGTGATCTTCCCATCCCCGTCTCCCCGTGTGCCCTCGATGCTACCGTCGCAGTGTCCAAGAAAGCAAAGCCCCCTCCTGACCAGTTATAGTGGCCGACTTTTCTTGAACCCCGGTTTAGAGTTGTAGGTCTTGTTTCTTCCCCCTGCCGTCTCCCACTCTCTATCGCAGCGCGGATCGGCGTTGGCTGCAGCAATCCTGACAGCCATCCCTTTCCCCGACCCCTACCTTGCTTGCCCTTCCCTTCCCTTCCTCTTTACCCGGGGTTGGCCCGGCGCTGTCATACCAGACTTTGCTCTTCTTTGGTTCACGCGGGTTCGGATAGTGTAGTGTATGTTACTCTGTCACTCTGTGTCCTTCGTATGTGTGTGTGTGCGTGTGTGGCCATCGGCGCTTCTGTGGTGCAAAAGAGTTTCGATCCTCCAACTCCGAGGCCCCCCCTCCCCGCCCACATCAGAGACCCCATAGACTCAGCCAGCGACACTAGTCAGATCAACGAGAATCGGCCTCGATTTGTCTCGTCACTAACACCCTGTGCCTTTTTGGATAACGAAGCTGAACTGCTGAAGCCAAGAACCCACGTACTCCGTAAGGCCAGCGGGTCGGCCATTCACTAACTCGGACTTTGAAGTCTCAGTTGCTCCGGTTCGGTGGCGCTAAACATTTGGGAAAAATAAATTCCCGAGCAGGGCCGCGTACGTTTTGTGAGGTTTAGTGATAGTCCACCAACAGGTGGAGGCTCCTTAATTCGACAAAGCTACAGAGCTACATCTCATGAGTTGAGACATTGTAATCTTAAAACCCTCACTATCATCGTCCTTCAACGAGATCTCCGAATCAGTCACCCGAAAAGAAATCATAGTGGCTCGGGAGGTAATAGGATGTACTTTGTATGTGTGTCTGCCGTGTGGTACATGTATGCACGCACATACCAACACCAGATATTCTTCAATGCCGTGCCGTGCGAAGCGAACACACAGACTGCAGCGTGGAAACAATGAAGTCAAGAAAAAGCCCACTCCGTGACGTGCACGAGACACTGTCGAACCTATTATACATGGCTGACATAGCAGTGCAAGAGCCAACTCTCACCCCCAGTCAGGTGTCACATCACACACTTTCTCAATCTCACACTTCAGCCGCATTGCGGTTGCGGGAAGGGATGGGATCAGGAACGGAAAGGCAAAAAAAAAGAAAGGATGGGATGTCAGCCAAGTCAGTCAGCCAGCCAGTCAGAGTCAGGGCCAACGCTCGGGCTGGGGTCTCCGGTTCGTTTCATCGGTCTGAACAATAAAAAAGATGTCGGGCAAGTCTCGTGTCAAGTAGCGATGAGGCGAAGGAGCGAAAGGCAAAATAGACTCTATAGGGACAAGCAGACAACTTGGAGTTACCTTGCTGAACGTGGAAGGAAAGAGACGTAAGAGAGACAATGGTTGGCCGCATGACTTTCAGCACCCACGGCTATTTTGCCGTGGACAAAATCAATCTGGCCTCTTTGGACTCTGAAGAGAGATTTTGGGTTCCATCGGTCAACCATGTAGACGAGCAACGGCGAAAAGACCGGCCGAAACAAAATATGCAAAGGCAACACTGACCTCACTTCTCTTACACCTTACACAACAGAGTGAGAGAGAAACTGGTAGAGAGAGGCACATACCACCCTAACAAGAAAAATCAGGCGGTGGATTTTTTTAAGCGTAAATCTTCTGACTGTCTCATCCCAAGAGCACCACCAACTCTCTGACACCTTTCTGCAGCGTCGATCATCTGCCTCTTTTTTTTTTTTTTTTTTTCTTTCTCCGGGCTGGTCTTCCTTGGTGTCAATCATTGCCGTCTTCCGCCCTACCGCATCCTCTTTCGCCGCACTTCTCTCCGAGTCCCAATGTTCCCGCTCTGGAACTTGGGCTGTTCTTTTCCTTTTTCAATGAATGGGGACAGAGGAGTCACCTGGATTGCTAGATCCATGGAGGAAATGGGAAGCCTTCCCCCCTCCCCTCCTCTTCCACTCCCACCCTGGTGGAGTTTAACGGGTGTGCCTGTGTCATCAGCAGCTGCCATCTCACAATGTTGCGATCGGCGGCTTTTCCGTCCGGTCCCAAGCCTCGAAGTCAACGTACCTTGTGAGGAATGGCTCATAGCAAACTATACTTTCATGTTTACGAGTGCCTGTGTCGGAGAAGCTATTCCGAATACGTGTGAGTCCGTGAGGAAACACAATAGCGGTAGTCAAAAGATTAGTGATATGTTAGTGATGGGGAGATGAATCGGACTGATCCGAGCTTTCCTACGTGCTCGGTCCAGGCTTGTTGTGTTGCAAGGGGATCAAGTTCGCCTCATTGCAACAGAACCCACAATGTAGAGCCCACACATGTTACGTCTTGGGACGAAAAGATGTGGCCAGAAAAGACTGACGAAACCACCTAGTCACTGTGCAAAGAGTACGGGAAACTCATGATGATGATCTTTCAATCCTCTCCTCTGTTCGATTCTGTGCGGCTTCTCCTTTCTATATACATTACCACATAATCGTACATTTTGATATAATCGTTCAAGAACCGGAATAATAATGGAAAGAGAAGTAGAAAAAACAACCCAAAACACTGCCAAGACAGGGAAATCCTCACAGGAATAACCTTGCCTCTCGACTTGCCTCCGAACCAGGGGACTAGTCACACACAATAAGCGTCGTGCCACCTCCACACACGATCTACCCACCCCCCGTATACAATTCAAAACGCCTGTAAATGCCAAGTTTTCTCATTGCCTGGCTGGACTTCTTGCCCGTGACCAGTTTTGCCCCAGCCATGATTCACGCCTCTTGCTCCGGTAGTAAAAAGCAGACGAAAAGGAAAATAGAAGAAATAAGCCAACTTTAACACATGTCGAGAAGAAATAGATTTCCTCCTCTGCCTTTGATTGACCCCGTCTTCCCCAATCCAGAGGACCGCCAATGGATGATGTTCTCCAATCCGTGGGGAACCCTCTTTTGTAGTTGTTGAACGCCGTTGAAAAGACTTTGATTTGATGGTTTGGGGTTTTTTTTGTTTTGATTGTTTTCGTCATTGCTGATTATGATGTTAAAATTGATGTCGTTTGATGTTGTTGCAGTTGCGGTAGAAGTGATAATGTTCTACCACGTGGTATCTTTCCCGTTGAAACCGGTCCGAACCCCCCTTCCCCTTTGCCGTTCCAGCTCTTTTGCGCGTTTGACGACTCCACCCCAGGATTTTTGTCGTATTGATCATGATAACAGTGAATAGAAATAACCGTTCAGATTATAATTGTCGATCAGTTGCTGCAGGTGCTGCCGCTCTCAAAGTTGTGGCATCCGCGCTCGTGACGCTTCATGTTGCTGCGAACGCTGAAGGCCTTGCCGCAGCCGGCGTGCGGGCACTTGAAGGGCTTCTCGCCGGTGTGAGAGTGGCTGTGGATGCGCAGGGATGAAGGGCGGGAAAAGGCCTTGTTGCAGGTCTGGCAGATGTAGCGGTCTTGACTCTGGGGGAAGGATGCCGCTGAGGAGGGGGAGATGTAGTGGTGATGTTGCCACGGGTTGGTACCGTTGGGTCCCATGCCGACGGGAACGGGGGCCATGGGCGGGAATTGTTGAGGAAGAGGGCGCTGGTAGTAGATGCCAGATATCTGAGCCTGAGGAGGAGGGGTGTGCTGCATGGGAGGGTAGTAGGAAGCCGCAATGGGGTTGTGGGCGGGCATATAGGCAGGCGGGAAAGGCTGGGCCTGGGCGTATGAGCCTTGGACAGGCACTCTTGGGATCATGGGAGCCATGTGGCGGTGGGCTTCGGCTTCCAGAGGGGGCGTGGACTCATAGTAGTAGTTGCTCTGGGGCTGTGAGACGACGGAAAGCTGGCTGACGGATCTCGTCGAGGGAGAATTGTAGCCGTCGAAGGAGGCGTCGGAGCTCATGGGAGGCGTGGGAGGAAGTCCGCCGCGGCCATAGTGAGAAGAGCTTGGTCTCGTCTCGGACTTTTGGGAGGATGCTATGCGGGAGGTCAGTGTTCTGATGCTGTTGTCTGTTGCGCTGTCCATCCTATCCGTACCTTGCTGAGGAATCTGAGGGTGCGTCTCGGATGTGGGCGAGCCTTGGTCTGCGAGGCCAAGGAGATTTGAGATGGAGGGGAGAGAGCACTTTGATGTCTCGTCCATGGGAGGCGATGGGGGAGGTTGAGGCGGTTGGACGTATCCGTAGTGTGCGCTTTGCTGAGCAGCGTACGGGTTCGATATTAAAGCGCTCGCCATTGTTGCTGATTAAGAGTTTCGAAAAACTTTGAAGTGTGCTTGGTGCTGGTTGCGTGGTGTAGTTGATCCTTTTCTCCTTGTAGTTGGCTTCGGTCTTGTCGTCGATGAGTTGATGAAAGATGTGGTTGATGAAAGATGTGGTTGATGTGATGGTGATGGTGGTAGGTCGTTGAATATTAACACAACAGGTATTAGATGTAGAGTAGTGATTAGCCCCAAGTGCCAGCTGGATACTAGAGATTGATTTTGCTTCAGGAGTTATTCGAGGTTCCAAGTCGATGAGGGGGAAGGGGAGGGTGGGTAGTTTAAGTATGAAATGGCCTGGTGAAAGAAGCTTGTTGGTGGGTGGATGGAGTAGAGGTGGCAGATGGGGGAGGCAGGTATATCAGATCTCCCGAAGCAGAGTGGAATGGGTGATCAAGCGTAAATCCACACGATGATCCCTGGACGATGAGATGCCACAATCGCCTGTCACAAATTGTGTGTGGGTCAGAGGCAGAGAGAGTGGGATAAGTCTTGGGACCGTTACGCCAGGCCTGGGACCAGACGAAAGGCGGCGACGACGGGGGTGTGTGATTCTGATGGTAGCGAAGCAAGGGTCAGTCCAAGGTCCTCGTCTTGGGTCATCTATGGGGTACGTACTACTCAGTCGTGCTGCGAGGTTTAACGACAAGGGGAGGAGGACGGGGTCATCGGTACTAGGTAGATGAGACCGGGGGCCGTGAAGAGGGAGGAGGGGAGGGGAGGGGAGGAGAGGAGGAAGAGGAAGACAACAGGTAGGAACTAGCAAGTAGCAGAGACAGGAAAGAGAGTGAGAGAAGCGCGAGCACGATGGCCTGTCTCTCGATGTATCTGTAGCCTGGCTATAGCGCCTCCTGGATATTGGGATGACGGGGCAAGGGTATGTGGACGGTTCTCTTACTTGGGGGTGCATCGGGGGGATCCTGAGCGATGCTGGTTGTGTGCCTGAACCATAATCATAACAACAACGATCTCGAGTCTGGCGTGGGCAGAAAGAAAAGAGTCGTAGTGTATCCGTACTTCTACGCAGTACGGATACATGGGAGCAGTAGGTAATGGGTGTATCCGTGTTGCTGGCTGGCTGGCAGCAGTAGCCGGGATTGCGGGTGAGATCGAGGGCGACTGACCCCGTCTGGGATCAACGTCAATGGATCGCTGAGGTCAAACGGTCACTGGTTTATGCAACGGCAGGGTCTGTTGTCCAAGAGCGTACCCCAGCCGTGTGTCCTGGCTGTTCGTTAGGGCCCTGCTCTGAACGCCTCTTCCTCCTTCTCCCACACGGGAATGTACTGAGGGAGTCCCCTACATATCTTGGCCACACGCCCTCTTACTCTTCTCGTTC